TTGCTGAGATAGTTGTTGATGGGGATAAATTTTTTTTTTGAGTTGCCGAAGTAATCGTTGATCGAGATATTTGTTTAGTTGCCGAGATAATTGTTTATGGGATAAAATTTTTTTGAGTTACCGAAATGGTCGTTGATCGAGATAATTCTTGCGGTGTAGAAATGGTTGTTGACGAAATTTTTTTTAATTCTCGAAATTGTTGTTGAAATTTTTTTCCCCCGTTGCCGAGGTAATTTGTTGAGTAAGAGTTAGTGTTTCAGTTATCAAATTGGTACGGTTTATCATGATTTTTTTTTATGGTAGTCGAGTTATTTGTGTTGATTGAGAGTTGGTTTTCGAGTTAGTTCTGTTTCAAGAGATCTGTTCATCTGTTTGTAGAGCTAGTTAATTTGTTAGTGGATCGTATTGGTTATAGGGTTTAATGGCTATTTTGTTAGGGAGTCAGTATTCGAGTTGCCGATAGTCGATTTGGTGAATTAGTTATAGTGATGCGAATTAAATTTTTATTGGACAAAATAATTTTGGTGTCTGGTGTTGGTGACATGCGAATCGCTCTGTCCAGTGCACATTTAGAGCATTCAAGGGAAGGAGTGGAAGGATCTATTGTCATTTTTAGCAACAAATTTTTATGATCTTGTCTGTTTAATATACTTTCTCCCCCTTCCAACAGTACTTAGAATATATAGCAGTAAGTTGCTACACTGAATTTACTTGTGGGGTTATGGTTGCGGGCAATCGTATTTCGGCAGGAAACTCATGTTTAACCCTGGCACGTTGTCACTTTGGGCGTACATCTTGATCACATGTACCTTCATCGTGTTCTAATAGAGTTAATACATGTTTAAATTTCATAATATCGGTACTCAAGGCTCAGGGTGAATTTATAATTCCTTATGCTCATTGACTTTGATGTACGTTGCAATTTCTTATGTAATCATACCATATTGTTATCATGTCGAAATTCGATGTTAGGTGATGCAATGTCGTGATGGGTTTCTGTTTTTTCATTATACTCATAAATAATAATAATAATTTATCTAAACTTGTTCTCACAAATTGTTACAAGCTCACACTGGAAAATAATTTTTTTTCTCAATTCCTTAAAATGGTGGATATTCTTTTGTGTACATTATTAGCTAATAATTTTTTCTTCATCATGTCGTTCTGCGATGATCAGTGAGAAGGAGGAGTTGGCATAATTATACAAAATATCTGTTTAACTTTCATGCCAGACATCAGAAATGTTGTTTTCTCCCATTTTACTATGCATACTTGTCGCGCCAAAATCTGTGTCACAGTCAATTTTTTTTTAAGTATCTACTTCTTGTATCTATATATATATATATCACTTGTTTTATATATATTTCATATTAATCACTGCTGTGCTATGTACACAATTATACTGTTCCAATGTTTTCGTGCGTGCAATTCTTTTGTGTAAATTATGCGGTAGCCCAGATCTCATCTCAAAATTCGATTTTTAGGAAATTTTTTTTCCTTTCTTTACAAGTCGTTTTATTGTACTACATTTGTTTGGCAGAAACGGAGACAGGGGATGGCCGGTGTGGTATTCAAACGAAAGCTACTACCGGTCAACAATTTAGTGGGGAGAAAGAGAGTGAGGGAGGAAAAGGAGAAAGGGAAATTGGTTCACGTGTTGTGTTTGTAGAACAAATTCCGCACTTAAAATAATCTCCTTTGGAGGTATTTTTTTCTCCTATTCAGGTCGGGCGTGGATATGACTCACGGACCACAGGAAATGACATTTTCCCCTTCGCCATGGCGTCAGGATGACAGGACAGCAACATTCATCGGGTTCTACAGCTTTCAAGATTTATTACTTCCAATGAGAGATCGGCGGAGGCAAACGCTGTCCTACAATGCTCGAGGCGTCCGGCTACATTCTTCCAGCGCAGTGTTTTCCACCCCTCTTCAATTCATCAAACGGCAGGACATTCGTGTCATTGATCCCTCACACTCACAACAGGAGGGGGTACTTCCGCCTTTCCTACTGCACTTGACACTAAAGAGCTCAATCGTCAGGATCAAGGAATCCCCCTCCTCAAATTTCTTTTGCTCTCCTGCAGTTGTGATTCCAAGAATTCGTTGCATCAAGAAGTCATCCACGACTCGTTGTTGGACGATTCCTTCTGTTATTTAATCACTCCCATCTCAGTATTTATTTCTACTGCAAATGTGTTAATTTTTTTCTCTTTTATTTACTCTCTTTCCAGGTGTTTGTGAGTCTGAAAGGGGGCAGGAGTGATGGGTGGCTTGGAGGCTGGAAGGCTTAGATGCTGATCGGATTGCTCCCAAAACACATGTAATTTGTGTATTCCCCTTGTTTATTGTTGACAGGATGTTGTCGGATTCCTAAGTCGGGGGTCCCGGCGCTCGGTTATGAAAGTTGAATGGACCCATAAATTGAAAGAGAGAGTCTCGACTTTTGTAACTTTGCGCTTGGTTCCTGACCAATGACTAGGCGAGACCAAAGGGCTCACGGATGCAAAAAGGGGTAATTTGTCCTCACTTAAAAGCAGGAGCCGAGACATTTCTCGACACTTCTACACTTTTCAAATTAGAAAAAGAAACAAAACGAATCTGTAACTTCTTACACCATGCCGGCCTCCCATCACCTCGCCTCCGCTTCAGATAAGTGAAATTGTAATGTTTGTTCATAGTTCTCTTATCCTTAAATTTTAATAGTGTTTAATCTAAGTTCTAATTTCGTAATGCGTTTTAAATGTAATAAATGAATTTGTTTTATTTTAATCCGAGTAATTCCTTAGTTTTGCGTTGTCTTTAATTATGATTTAAAGTACTAGCCACTATCATGATGCAGACATAAGTTAAATAACCGAACCTGAGTATCAGAATAGATATCAAATTAAAGCAGTATTAGGAGCGCTGCATCAGAATGATATCAAACACAATGATTAACATATGGATCCGGTTGCTAATTACATCACTAAACTCTTTTCGAAATGTTTAGAATTATATACAAAATCCTGACTATGGTATCAAAGAGCAATGTATATTTATACGTATATAATGTAGGACTGTGTTTCTACTTCCCTCATGCCCCCCCCCCTTGTCTTCTCTAGGACCCGGCTAGATGTGTGGGGAGAACTGAATAATCAGTCGACATGATTCACTCTAATTATTTTACTGTCACAAAATATCAAGCAAGCACAGCAATAATCCAATTAAGATTGTTGATCAATACTAAGAGTGCGAAGGTGAGACCAATTAGCCTGGGTATATCATTTACGGACCCTCAACTGATTTCTACGATAAACGATAACCTATACAAACTCAATTTCAACTCCGCCGCACACTACAAGTTACCCTCTAACTTCTATTTAAATAATGCTTACAATACCTGTACTCTTGTAAAGTCGAAATCCTACTGTTGAGGCCTTGAACACGAATACTTGACGGGATCAAATCCGATCCGTTTGATCCTCACTTGGAAATCTTCAATACACACTTTTATAAACTTAGATCCTCACTGAAATAACTCACGATCCTCCACTCACTAACTCTCAAAACTCATAAATACAGAATTTATATAATAAACTTAATTTGTGCATAATTACGTTTTCTTACCTTCGGTGAAAGTTGGTTGAGAAAATTATTTCCCTAAAAGAGTCCCCAAGGTGTTAATAAGAGTCGTGTATAGATCCGTCCCACGTATAAGCACCAAAAAAGGGAGAGTCTGGTAGCAGTCACGATCAAAACTATCCGTGCTCCAATTAATATTTTTAATACTATTTAAATAATATTTTATACAAAGTAACACTTAAAACTCCTTCAAAAACTAAGAACTATTGAAGATATTTTTATTTCCGTACCTCGATGCAAGCAGAACCTTTGTCAAAATATCATACTGTTGGAAATTAAACAATAAAGTTTCTTGAAAATTTTCCGTACTAATAATAGGGTAAGAGCTTTATTTTTAATTTTATGTGTGTGTTCATACTAACAATTAAAATTGACATTGTTTGTTCTTTCAAGTAAAAGTCGTTTCAACGTCCTTAAGCATGTCAGAACATTTGGAGAGGGTTTTCTCATACCTTTCTATTGGGGATTTAAATATATCTCTAGTCTCCCATTCATGCGTGCTCCCGAATTCAAATATGTAAATATTAAAACTTTGTTGGGTGAGAGAGGGAGTGCTTATTAACGTCGCATTTTAAAGCAACATGAGGGCTATTGGCAACAGACCTCGTAATTTTGAACCTTGGTCAAGTGACGAGGATGACGCCTGAATGAGTTTGTCCCCCTCTCTCTCTCCAAACTACCACACCACCTCAACGGGAAAACCTTGAGCCTTGGCATACTTAACGTAGATCAGCCCCTCTACACGATTGATCTTCAGAGGCAGTGAACGGTGTTGGAAATCCCTTTGAAGAGCGTCTTCCCATGGTAGCATTTTTACAAGTCAATTTGACTTTTACTGGTTTTGAGTTAATTCTGATGTTTTCTATGATTCTCAAAAAACTTTGCATGTATGGAAAACAATTTTACATAGAAGTAACATCTTAAGCTAATCAGATATTTCAATGTAGAGTCGAACCTCTATTCTACGAATTTCTCTAGTTTGTGAACTTTTTCCTGGAAACAAGAACATTTTACAATTTTCTTCGTAAAATAACCTCTAAATAGCAAAATGCATTTTCTATTCAACGAATTTTTTCTCTTGTGGTCCCATTTGTTTCAATTCCTACTATTAGTTTACTCTCTTTCTATATATATATATATATAAGGATACTTGAACAATATATATATATATATCTTGTTTAAATTTTTAATCCTTAATAAAATTCTTTCTATTCATACATTCAAGTTCAAATATATTTTTTAAACTTGTAGTGGATGACGATGTTAATACAGATTTTTCAAATATTAATTCATTAATTCAATTAAAAATGAATAAATAGTAACAAATAAAAATAATAGTTCAAAAGCATATGTAGAAAGGAAAGTTGTTTGCATATATGTAGTGCAATGGATAGCACGTTGGACTTCTAATCCAAAGTTCTTGGGTTCGAATCCTACCTGAGATGGCCTGATTTCTGAGATTGTGTTTATTTTTTTACTACACCTTTTTATTAGAATAACTAAATTTAATTAATGAATCAACAGTAACAAACAAACAAAAAATAGTCCAACACCCTATATCGAAAGGAAAATGGAAAATTGCATGGAAAATCGCCTTCTATTTTGTCACTTTTTTGTGTTTCTATCATATGTATATACACTGTTGGCCACCGTAAATGTAACACCCAGAAGGAAGCACGCAAATAACATGAAATTTACAACATGCATTAGCGGAGGTGAGATATGCAAATGATTAGAATATCAGCGCAGACACACATCACGCACGCCTGTGGCGCCACCTCAAAGCGCTATTTAAGGCTTGGAGATTTCAAGTTCGGCAATTGTGTTTTTCTTGTGGTTTTTTCAAAAAAAGATCAGTTATGTCTCGTAGAAAACAGCGATCAGGTTTTGATCAAGTATCCGAGTTCGATAGTGGCCTACCGAGATTGTGGATTATCTTTCAGGGAAATCGGTAGTCGTGTTGGACGAAACCAAACAACTGTAAAGCGGATATATGACCGTTGGGTGCAGGAGAGTACGACGGACCAACGTGGTCGATCGTATCCACCACAGTGCACCACTTCACGTGAGGACAGGCAAATTGTGCGCATATCAGTGATGGATCGCTCTGTCACATCACGAACCATAGCAGATTACATTGAGTCTGTAACGCATAATTCAGTGTCTGCGCATACTAGGGTTTCTTTCCCGGGAAATCATAAGATTTTTGTACTTTTTCTATTCCCGGGAATTAGACTTCATTCCCGGGATTTCCCGGGAATCACACAGGGCTTGAATTATCTATGAGGTAGCTATTTTTGACTTGACCTTACATTTCAATCTCGGACATCGTTAATTGAACCTATTGTGGCAATTTGTGATCGTTCACCCCGAACTTCCGGATGAAGGAATGTTCGCTAACCCCAACTATGTGTGGGGTAAGAGAGTGTAATATGAGAACTTTGGGGGGGGGATTTTTCCACAGCTAGCCGTGGGTGTATGGAGCTTGGTTAACAAGAAATATTGGGTTTTAAAAGCATTCGCATTTCGTGGTCAACAACAAGCAATCTATGTGATCGAAGTTCGAAGATCTAGATTTATGTGCATAATGTAAGTACTAATACTTAAAACTATTATTTATTTAATCTTTTTTAAAAAATTTTTTTCGGATACTTGTCTTTATTAGGAGCTATTTAATTGAATCAGCAATTTGAAGAAGGGAATTCACCCACAAACTGTTTGGGGGAGAATATTTTCATAAGAAATTGCGCAATTGTTCTTATTTATTATTTTTCTAAACTTAACTTTCGATTCTTATATTAATATTTATTTATATTTATATGTAACAATAATACAGCAATTACATAAACAAGAAATCGGTTATACAAATAAAATATCTTAAATACAATAATTAATATTTTTAACGTACATAATCGACACTTCAGCATCAAATGAGTTTTCACGTATTATTAAATATTTATCTCTTAGTAGCAACATTAGAGAAATAATTGATTCAGCTTTCACTGGTTGATTTTCAAACACATGCGAATCAGTAAAGGAACATTAATTTTTGTAATTATTTTTCAAATGTGAATTTTTCCCCCGAGATTTTTAATTTACAAAATCTTTAACTGTAACATTTTTTCCATGCTTGAGTGATAAAAGTATAAATTGCTTATACTTTCTGAAATCCTATTTCAAAAATAAATAATCAATTTTTTTTATAATTTTTGTACTTTTTAGCTCATTATATAAATAAGAATTAATTTTGTAATATATATGCATCCTTATTTTATATAATGATAATTGATTTTATTTAAAAATAACTTGTTTTTAATTTTTTAAAAATTTTAATGTATTTCCGGACATTCCCGGGAATGGAAAAACCCGGGAAATCATAAACCCTAGCGCGTAACATTCGACTCTGTTTACAGCAGAGTGGTCTATCCGCAAGACGTCCATTGTTTGGTCTACCCTTGGCGCAGAACCACAGACGTCTCCGCGGCCAATGGTGTGATGAAAGAAGGATGTGGGCGGCAGAATGGAATGAAGTTGCCTTTACTGACGAGTCACGCATCTGTCTGCAACTCCACGATGGTCGGATTCGAGTCTGGAGACACCGTGGAGAGAGGATGCTGAACAGCTGCGTTATGTATCGCCACACTGGTCCTGCACCGGGTATTATAGTATGGGGCGGTATTGGATATCACTCTCGCACTCCTCTAGTATGCATTGCGGTACTTTAAACAGCCAGCGCTACATCTCCGAGGTGTTGGAGTCAGTTGTCCTTCCTTACCTTCAGGGCTTGGCCACAGCCATATTTCAACAGGATAATGCACGACCATACGTGGCACTCATTGTCCAAAGGTTCTTCGTCAATCACCAGATTGAATTGCTTCCCTGGTCGGCTTGCTCTCCAGATCTTTCGCCGATAGAAAACATGTGGTCCATGGTTGCTCAACGGTTGACCCTGATTACACCCCAGCTGCCACACCAGATCAACTTTGTCAACGTGTGGAAGCTGCTTGATGTGCTGTACCCCAAGACACATCCAAAGTCTCTTTGAATCAATGCCGAGGCGTGTGGCAGTGGTGATCTCCAACAATGGCGGCTACTCTGGCTACTGATTCTGGCAGGAACCACACTTCACAGAAGTCTATAAATTTAAGGTCAACATGTTATCTAGAAAATAAATTTTGTTGTGCTATCTCTTGTCTTTCTTGGTGTTGCATTTACGGTGGTCAGCAGTGTACATATTTATACTAATTGTAACTATTTAATAAAAAGTAACTAAAATATTAAAAAAAGTGTTGACCTAAGAAGGAATTGACTTAATTATTTTTTTTTATTTATATTACTTGTTTTCTCCTTATTTTAAAATAATTCTGGACCTTTTCGTATGATGAAATGGTAAAATCATTTAAAACAATTCCAGGCGGATTACAGTGTGGGTACATTGCAAAAATACGATGTATATTATAAGAGAAAACATTTTTTCTCAAATAAAATTAACACACTTTACCACTAATTAAATTTAAAGACGCATGTAATATACGCTAAAAATTACTGGTTATAAAAAAATTTACTTGAAGGTTAAGGCTTGTTTAAATTTACTTGATGGTTTAAAATTAGAAAATGTCATTAAAATTCATCAATTTTAATATAGAATATTTTTTTAAAGTTGAAAATGCAGTGTATATCTGAACAATGTTTGTTTCTCTTTCTTGTTTTCCTTGCAGATTTCTTTTTGATGGATAAAATATATATATAAAATAAATAGATATTAATTTTTACAAAAGAAGTTTGGAGTGATTACTTTTTTGAATAATAATAGTGTTTATGAATTTAAAATTTGTTTCGAATGGTTCCTAAAGTATATTTAAAGATGAATCTCTATTGAACGAATTCTCCTCATAACGAACTTTTTTTCGGGATTTAGCGACTTCGTTAAATGTAGGTCCGAATGTATATGTAAATACATAGGAGATTTTTTTTCCAACTTTCTATGCAAAGAGTGGTTTGCCAATAGATCGGGTAGAGAAGGCAGATTTCTTTACTGATCTTAAAAAAATATCACTCAATTTGTTAATACTCCCTGAACAAAAAGCGTTTTCCCAGTGGATGTTTGCAATCATCTTGTAATCGATTGTAACACTCGCTATATTCAATTTTGTCCCCAAACAAGATTATGTTTACTTAAAGCAAAGGGGAGTGGCTTACTGCAGACCGCCCCTATATAAAGCGAATAGAAAAAGAGCGAAAAGTAAAATAATTACTTTAAGAAAACTAGCATATACAGAGTGGGACATTCAGAGATTAGACAAGTGCAAAATTAGAACCGTTGAAGATTTCCTTATATTTTTTTAAAATTTATTAAAGAAGAATACCGTGATAAACCATGGATGGTAAGATGAGGAGTTTGAAATGTTGTATTTCCTTTCAACTATTTTTTATTACTTAACTTAGACATTAACTAAGCGAATTCAAAATGAATAATGTGCATTAATGTGGTAGATTTTATTGATTACCTTGTTATAATAGCTCTTATTGAATAACAATGATATTAATTATATAAAATTCATATTTCAAGTAGTAAATTTGTATGCAGATCATAATTCGTAGCTTTATTTCGGAATTATTATTATAAAAATTAAAATGAAATAAAAATAGTTGGCTCATTTTAAAATATTCATTACTCTTACTAATTTCGTTATTCTAAGAATCTATCTCTGGAAAACATCATCAATTAAAAAATAAATACAATATGTTCTGTATTCTTACAAAAATAATTCTACTTAAATAATTGCTGTTTTTAAATTGTTAAAATAATTACTATTTCTTTAAAAGAAATCTTGAAACAAGAAAAAAGTAGAAAAAACACTGGGAAAATTTATTTTTTATTTATATTATATAAACAAGAATGTAGAATTCTACTAACAGAATAAAAAGTGCCAAGACTGCACCCTAAAAGTGCCAAGATCCTTAAGTTCAAAATTTAAGAAAAAAGCCTTAGAAAATAGACAACAGTGATAGACAAAAGTAGACAAATTTTATCAATCGCAAGATAAAAAGGTATTTTTTAAGAATCTTACTATAACAATCAAATGAACCATTAATTGAAATTTCCATAGTGTTTTCTACTTATCTTAATTAACTCTTAACTAAGAAGTTTGTAATTTAATGAATCTATGAACAAATACAGACTTAAGAAAAGCAGTATTTAATGAATTCCAAAGAATATTTGTTCTTTTCAAATTTTCTGCTGATGTTATATATTAAGATAGCTTTCTGTCAACTTTATTTTCTTAGAAAGCTGTTTTAATCTTTTTTTTTCTTTTGAACAAATTTTGTAACAAGTAATTGCAGAATGTTGTTATTATCCTAGCAAATTTGCATTAAAGAACGTTTAGCAATGAAATTAAAGCTTTAACTACTGAATTGATTTTAGTGAAATGTGATTGAAATT